AGGAGGCTGTGGGGGAGTTTCCCAGACCCTGGACACCTCAGCACAGACCCATCCCGACTCTCCACGAGCAAGGCAGCTCTTTTGAACGCATGGGCTGCCGCCGCCCAGCACCTTACCCGTGGCAATGAGCTGGAACAAGCGCTCGCGAGCCCTGCGATCCCGCGCCACCTGAGCKCTGCGGAATGCCAGATGAGCCAGTCCAGAGGCCTCCAGGGCCGCTCTGTATCGCAACCCGCCTGCGTTTTTCTTCTCTGCTACCATCCCACTTACTTCGGATCCACAGACTTGCTTTGAGGTTTGGCACTTTCACATTTTTAATATAAACTCGAATTCTTAAGACACTAGCATCAAATCCTAATAAAAAAAATATCTGCTTTTCTAATTTTTCCAACTGCCCTTTGTCTCCATAAAGAACAGGTGTATGGGTAGCTTGTAGATGGAAACCTTTTTCCTAAAGAGAGATCTGCTTTCTCTTTCCCCTGATTCTAACCTCAATAATCCCAAATCGGTTTAGGGTTGGAGCCTGCTGTGATTTTTACACTCCTGTCTTCTGAGGCTGCCTTGTGGGGAGGTGGGCTTTGATGTGCCTGAGGCTTGTCTCTGGCTATGGCCCTTCCTGGGTCCTGCTTTGCTTGGAGGAATTTAAAAAGCCTCAGTATCTTGAGCTGGACAGAATCTGCCCCTTTTGTACTGATCCCAGAAAACTGTGGAGAAATGGGAACCACTTCCCTGCCTTCCCAAGAGAGCCCATTGTACTCTCTGTGTTCCCTAGTCAGGGCTGCCCTTGAGACTGGCCCATGTGGACCTCATGAATGGGCTGTATGCCCCTGGCCTTTAGCTGGGTGCAGCCCTGGGGATTCTCCAGTCCAAGGTGAGAATGAGAAAGCTGTGCTCCTGCAGTGCCACCTTCATCCAAGGTCACTGCCCAGGGGGCCTATCACACAGCCTTTGTTTTCTTTCATGCTGGCCACCAGATTCTTGTGACAGTATCCTAAAATTGAAATAGACATGCATTTCCTTAGCAATCTCTGTCTTCCTCTCTGCCTCCTTCTACTCATTCATCTGTAGCATCTATTTATGCTGCAGCAGCTATGTTTTAAGCCCTGAAAGATTAGGAGGAGGTGTTGAATGTGATCCCTTCCTTGGAAGAGAAGTGCAGGTATAGAACTTTGAGGGCCAATGGGGGAGGAGGGGGGGGAGGAGGAGGAGGAGGAGGAGGAGGAGGAGGATGGTTTCTGACCATCTGAAAGCTGGCTTCCCAGGCGTGATTGCAAATTGACTTTCCTTGGTAAGATCTGTCACTCTGCACTAAGCACTTGCCTCAGAGGAGGCCTGTGCTAAGCACCTCAGGATTGGGAACAGGTGTACAAGTTGGGGCACACCTCTTTACTGACATTTTGAAGATTCCAGATTCTTGGGAGGAGGCCAGATGACTGGGAGTCAACACTGTGACGAATCAGTTCTTGATAGATATTCAAAGTGGTAGGAAGTTACCACTTGCTGGTGGCCTGACAGTGGCCATTTTTGTTTTCCCAGAGGCCGAGGGACCCAGTCTATACCAAGAACCCATGAGTGGGCCCAGGAGTAATATTTTTTACATGACAAATATATACAAACTTTATTCATTGAGTAAATCTTAATAAAGCTGGGATAGGGATTAATGGGGCATTATCTAGAAGAGTTGAACATGCGTATGCCCTTTGATCTAAGAATCATCCAGCATCTCCAGGGTTTGCTCTTGCCACCCAGGACTGACGAGTACTAGCTGCCTTTGTGATCTTGGCCAATTTTTCTCTTCTATTAAAAACAACAATAAAGCCCATAATCACAATCCAGTTTAGCAGCACATTTTCATCCAACATTGCTGTCCTTGCCTCTGTGGCTTGAGGGTCCCTGCCCCGCTTCCTTCCGGCTGAAGTGGGCTGGAGAGAAACTTCCTAAACAGGGGAAGTGACACAACTGGACTCTGAGACTGGGTGGAGATTGAAGAGGTGGCAGGGAAGGATGACAACCATAAAGATGATGCCCAACCAATATTAGCAGTGTCCCGCGCCCTGTGCTAAGGGTGTCACACATACAATCTCACTCGGTGCCTGCCTGCACCCTGTGGTGTAGCACGGTCAATCCTATTTTCAGGTGAGAAGACTGAGGGGAAAACAGGTAGATAACTGACCGTTGGTGGCTCTGGAATGTGTATTCTTTGCCATGTTGTCCAACTGACTTGAGAGAAAATGTTGAACAGAGGTACCCACTGGGGCGGGGGTGAGGGCAGTCTAGGGGTGCCGCAGCACAGGGCAGATTTGGGAGGGGCAGGAGGCAGTCAGGTCTAACAAGCCTGTATGTGTGTGGGAAGGTGTTGAGCACTTCGGGAGCCCTGTGGAGGGGGCTTCCTGGGCCCAGCTAAGGGGTCAGGGCTGTGGGGGAAGGGAGCAGGAGGTGGGGGAGAGCCCAGGAGGGAGGCCCAGCCACTGTGGTGCTTCGGGGCGGAAGCCACCCTCCCACCAGCCCTTTTTCATTCACATAAAGCTGGGTTTGTTTCCATTTATCTGCTTGACTTTTCAGCCAAGATGCTGTTAGAAAAACATATTGCTCTAATTTAATCCACATGTGCATCCCCGGGACAGAGTCTAAAAGGAAACTTAGGTCCTGAGTCCCAGATCTAGCATCTCAGTACCAGGGATATGGCAGGGAAGGACTCCGCACCCCCACCCCCCACCCCGGGGATGCTGACTACCTTTCAGGGTCCTCCCTGAAGCCACTGACAACCCCCCACCCCAGCCTCTGCCATGCCCTGGACATGGAGGTAGGAGGGTGGGGGAGGGGAAGGAAATAGGTGAGAACTGGCCCAGCCCCTACCCACAGCCAGGAGGGTGTTCAGAGGAGAAGGTCAGTGGGCACAGGGGGCGGGGGTGGGGTCAGTGCACAAAGGGGACTGACTTCTAATCAATTCCATCCTCAGAGTCAAGGTCTTAACTCTGGGGCATGCAGTGGTGACATAAGCAATTTGTCCAGTCACGTGGGGAGAGGCTGTCTGCAGGATCAAAGCCACGGATGACCCAGGGCCAGGGCTCTGAGGTGGCACAAGACCACATACAATCTCATTCCCACTCCTGGCTGGGTGTGGAAAGAAGTTTAGGAAGCTGGTCTTGCAGCATGTTCCTTGGTCAAAAGCCAGCAGGGAACAGTCGGTGTGCTCTTTCAAGACTGTCTTCTAATTTGGCTCCTGTCATGGAACTTATTTTGAATTTAATTATGTTATTTAGAGGAAGCAGTTGCTTAAAAATGAGAAAAACTGAAAGGACCTATCTCACAAGACATTTATTCGTGACTGAGCCGGAGACACACACTAAAGGACTTAACCAAAAGGTGTGATTTTGATTCAAGATCTGGGGTCCTTTTGGTGGCTTCTGAGTCATGATTCTGGTGAATTAACCCAGGCAGAAATGATGATCCCCCTTTCCCAAGTTTGCCACCTCCAGGGTTGCTCTCTCTATTTCAAAACCCCTCAGCAAATGCATGTTAGAACCCCCAGGGTATGAAGAAATTGATACTTGAGTCAGCACAGGAATTCATATACAAGCAGTTTATATCTGAGACCCTCAAGGGGGACCTACAGGGACCCCTCTGTCCCTCATGACTTTCAAGAATTGAGCCCACAGACCCCTCAGCTGGACACAGTCAGAAACAGCTTTCATAATGCTTTTAGGTGGTGTCTCAAAGGATATTGTTGGAAAGAAGGGATCTGGGCAGTTTATAGGGCTTTTGATTTGAACTAAAATGCATTTCTAGTAGAACTGACAAATGAGAGTTAGGGGTGCAAAGTCCTGGGTTCGGTCCCCATCAAGGGACCAAAAAAAAAAAAGGGAAAAAGAAAAAGGAAATTAAAATAGTAAAAATAATATCTGAGAAKAATAATGTTGGAGTGGGATGAATTTTCATTTGCTGCCTAAGTCAGAGAACAGTCCTTGTCACATCTGTGCCTAGGCAGTATTCTTGGTGTTGCTCTGCCAAAGACAGAGGAGAGGACTCTCTGGACTTCTCTTACCTGAAGTTTTAGAATCTTCCAGGTTGCCAGGACTCCCCTGTATCTCAAGTCAGGGGCTCAGTTATGCACCAGGATGCAGCTCTCTGGAGTTTCCTCCWGACTGGGAAGAACCTGGGAGCCCTGAGGCATGGCCAGCACTCTCTGGTGCCCTCCACAGGTGGGCAAGAACAGGGAGGCCGTTCTTGCAAGGACTGGCATCCAAACAGGTTTGAGCAGTTCTGATTCTATGGGGATAGGTCAGTCAAGTTCCCTGCCAAGGTTTTGGTGAACCCTACATGGAGAAGCGAGTAGGCAATTATACATCATTTACAAAGAACCCAGGGTCAGCAAGCAGGCAGAGAATGGAGAGCTGGAAAACTAGATTCACAGCTCTCCATCCCTGATCCCCAAATAAAGGCCAAGAATGCTGCAGCTCCTGCTGCTGGAGGAAGGAATGGGAAGCCTGGGTAAGGAGGGCCCCAGCAGCAGATACCAGCTGCTACACACAGGCTCCAGAAAGGAAATCTGGCCCTGGGAGTTACAGCACCTCCTTAGTTGGGCTGGGCCTACATTTGGGTTTATCAGATTGGTCATTTCAAGTTCCAGWGACCAATTACAATGAAACCGCCTTTCCATATTAACCAAGTTGATCAGGGCAGCACAAACATGTGCCAGATCCCTGGCTCACAAGCATGAAGGTTAACGACAGCTGCCTGTGTTCCTCTGATGGAAACTTTCTTCTGGTTTAACAAGAATTTGATCTGATTCTTTTTTTCCACCAAGGGCTGGTTCTCTAGACACCGCTCTGTATAGTAACCCTGTAATCTTAGGGTTTAATCCAAACATATTCCAACAACCTATTCTGGTACTCCAAATGAATGTTTATTTTAAAACAATTTGCTATGGCTTTTTCTTTTTTTTTTTTTGAGGGAGAGAGAGAAGGGAATTTCTTGGAGCCAGATTTTTCCTAAGCAGGTCTCTCCACTCAAAAGACTTGTGTCAGATGCTCAAGTCGTAATTAACCACAGAGCTGTTTGGGAGATGGGAGAGGGCATTTGACAAAGAGTTAACAGATGTCATTTCGGTGGCTGCTGGCCCACTGCTGCTGGGTCATTTGTTGGRTGGAAGCCGATTCTGCTGCTGTCGTAAACAGAGAGTAGTAATAATTACATGCAGGCTGCATTAGGCATAACAGATTGGGTATATAACATTCTGTTAAAACCCAGCTCATATCCTGTTTCTCTGGAGATACAATGGAGACGACCCCTACCTCCTAGTTTTGRAGTCGCCTCCAAGGATCCTCACAGACTTTCCAGGAGGGAAATAGGTCATGTTCTTTCATGGCTCATTCTGCCGAGGACCCAGGGATGGCACAGAGCTCTGCTCAAAAGCGACTGGGGCACGCACTTCACTCAGCCAGCCCCGCACCGCACCACGGAGCTGCCTTTTTCCATTTGAAAAATGAAAGAATTAAATTCAAAACAAACAACTTCAATTTAACACCAAACTACAGGATAACCAATCTTAAAAATGTCACAGCGTAATGGATCTTAATACCCACAGAAAACACAAAAACAGCACCATTGTTCCCCAGCCATGCAGAGCAACCTCGCAGAATCTCAGTGAAGGAGAAAGAAGGGAAAAACACCTTATTACTTCCAACCCCTGCGAGCCATTTTGGTCTCCAAAGGTTTTAGGCTGCCCGAGGCCGTGTGTCTGCAGTGTTTCGGGAAATGACTTGCCTTCGCACGATCGCGGCTCTGTTCTGCAGCGAGCCTGCTTGCCCCGGAGCAGCGCCGCTCCATTTCTGGTTAACTCTTCCTTCCCAGGCCTGCCGCTTGCAGGAGCAGGACCAATAGGGCCCAGGGACGCGGAAGCCACKGCACACTGCAGCCCGGCCTCCTGTGGGGCGGCCAGGATTGTCATCTCTAGGAGCGATCAGCTTCTCAAAGGAGGTAGCCCCTGCAGACCGGCCGGSTGGCTATCCTCACTGCTCTTTGGAGAATCTATTCTCCAAAGGAACTAACTACAAGGCAACTGTCATCAAAACATACAATGCGCTGAAGCCAGGGGACACAAGTGAGGCTTTGTGGGCCAAGACGGTGCAACCCACCCTTTTGGGGTTCCCAGTAGGGGACAGCTCTTGTCTATGTCACCCCAGGCAAGGACACTCTCCTGGTCAGTAGGGTGTAAGCAGGGTCCAGCCTGCTACCAGGGCATAGCCTGCTACCAGGGTGTGACTTGGGCCTGAGGATTTTTACTTCCCCAGTGGCATTGACTGAGGGAGACCCAGCGCCAGAAACGTGTTTACAAGGCACCTCGGAGCTGGGAGACGACAGAAAACCACTTAGCACTTAAGAGGTTAATACAATTCCTAAGTGTTCAGCAATCACTGCAATTTAGTGCCATTTCGATTATTACACAATAAACAGACCATGTTGTCTCGAAGCAAATTTTTATGAGTATAGCTGAAGGGGCTGCAACTTATTTAGCTGCCGAAACTCAGAGGGAAAGAGCATTTCTGAATGCTAACACCATGGATCAGAAATACAGGTAGCAGAGAGAGGTTATTCTCAGGTCACCGCTCTGGCAACTCAACACCATGACCTTTAAAATGAGTATGTCGTTAGGCGGAAATAAAGTTCACCAAAGTGTTCTTTACACTGAACCATTTTAATAACAATATTGTTGAGTTTCAGAGTGAAAGATTTGGGAATTTCCAGAAACATGTTATGCTCAGGAAAGAACATCATGTTAACATGGGCTGGGAATTCGTGAACCATTTTGGCTATCTTGAATATGCATTGAAAATACACACACACACACACCAGTCCATTCTTATACATGGAGCACCACTGTATTATACAGGTGCTTGGGTGCGATGATTGCAAACCAGGTCAAATTGCTAACATAATAAGAAAAATCAAACATTTAAACTGGAGAACCAGAAGGTGAGGAGATGCTGTAACTCTCAAAACCTATGCAGAATCTYACTGTACACTGATTTCTAAGAGGCTCTTTTTTCCTCCAAGGCTCACACAGTTTTAGATTCAGGGATGTGAGCTTCACCCCAGTTCCACCAATAGAGGAAGAAAATCTCTGCAGATATACTTCAGGATTCAAGGTTAAAATGTGCACATGTGCATAGAACCTTTATGTCTATACATTTTAAGGCTTGCAAAGAGTTCCCCAATTTTATGAGATATCTGCAGTGACCAAGCAGACCTSTGCTAAGTAAGATAAAGAGGTTATTATTTTTATTACCATTTTACAGATCAGATAACTTTTACTCCATACCTGTTACATGCCGGGAACCCCTCCAAGAAGGCATGAAGTCTAGGAGAAAGTGCATCTAGGCCTCCTTCTTGGGGAAATTTGATAGTTCTGTAGCTAGCCCTCATGCACATATGCAGACTCAGGAAGATGGGGCCCTTTCCTCTCTAGGATCCCGAGGACCCACACATTTAGAAGTAGGCAGCGAGGGGGCAGAGCAATGCTACAAAGGTGCTCTGTGATATCAGGACATGAGCAAGCCTGCTGAGAGAGATAGGTCGGGGACAATAGAAACACAACTAACATCAAATGTCAAGGCGGGCACCTTATGTAAAGGGGACAGGGATAGATCCTGGGGCTGCTCTGACTGGTACATAGAGCAGAAAGGAGGTCACAGCTACTGAGACCAGGTCAGAATTTCCACCCCACCTCCAGTAGAGCTGCCTGCCTGACTCCTGAAGTCCTACCTTTAAAGAGAAATGGTCTAATACTGTGTGACACGTGCAAATATATAACAAGGAATTCCACTATTATGTATATTTATAACACGCTACATGGGAATTCACTAGAATCTCCTGAGATGCCTAGCATAAAGGCACATTTCTGTGTGAGTAGATCTGGGATGGAACCCAGGCACCCAAACGAATGGACCACCCAGGTAGTTCTCAAAACAGATAGAAGAGCACACCTTGAGAAATCCTAATTTGGGACCACATTTCTTTGTACAAAGCTTCCTTCTTAGGTTTCAAAAATGCTATGCTCCTTGGAGGGCAGCATATTTAGTAAATGACATGAGTTTATGAAATGCTTTCAACCATCCTCCAGTCCTTCTGTCTAACCATCCATCTATCCTTCCTTCCATCCATCTATCCATCCATCCATCCATCCACCCACCCACCCTTCCATCCTTCCTGGACACCAATTCCATGGCAAGCCATGTTCCAGGCACTGGAGTGATAGAAGGGATCCCAGCAGGCACACGAGGGGGCAGCCCTTACGGACGCTGATGACTCAGAGAGCAAACACAACTATGGGAGGCCCAGGGGTGGGTGAGTCCACTACAGTTGCACATACTCCTGGCCTTGCCTTAGTGTCCGAGAAGCAGTCCACTGTGACAGAGGGCTCAAGGCAGAATTTGGGCCCCAAGAACACTAGTCATCTCCTCAAGGGATCAAATTCTTTCCCCCTCAGAAAGAAAGTGCAATTCATGATCATTGCATGGTGAGACAGAGACAGAGGGATTTGCAAGAAAGAGCAGGATTAGGAAGAGAATGATAGGGGCAGCCACAAAGAGCAAATTCTGTACCTGAGGCTCCTGTAGAAGTCCAGGCGAGGCCTATTAGGAGCCCAGAAGCCACCAGACTTAGAGCCTTCAAAACTCGATTTCGAATTCTCTTTGAAATGTTTATAATTGGCCACTCATAAAGCCATCACCCAGACGGTCCCGTCTCAGGGCAGTGTCTCAGACAAAGGAACACAATCCGTCCACCTACGTGTAATTTCAAAGTAAGGCAAGTCCGACCCTGCCATTCCTGAAACACTCTGAGGGCGATACACAGACCACAGGACTGCTTCTTCCTCCTGTCCCAGATGACCAGGTCCTTCTCTGGAATACTGCAGCGGCCTGTCTTTCCAGCACTCCACGGCACCTTTCCCCGGGCCCCTCCCTCTTGAACCTGACCTTCTCTTCCCTCTCCTTTTCTTTCTGATCCTGCTGTACAAAACTCCCCCAGGACTAGCCTGGTTGGCCAGAGAGAGAAGTTGCTGGGTCGTGGAACCCTTGGATTCGTTATCTGAAAAGCAGAGACAAAACGGTGATCTCACAGATTTGTGGGAAAAGTTAAATGAAATATATATAAAACATTTAATAAAGGAATGGGTATCTGGTAGACAATTAACAATTGTCTGTTCCCATAGGGAAAACTCAAATGTGTGTGTATGATTTAATTTTTTTAGAAGAATTTACTATTCCATATAAAATTATTCTATCTCGTATAAAAATGGACTCATCAATTTGGGGGGAATGTTCTCCTAATTTATGGCAAGGAAAACTGGGGAGTAAAGTTACTATTATGCAACCTTTTCCCCCAGAGGATTCCCGTATTGATATTCTAATGAAAATAGTCTCCCAAATTCTGCATTTTTATGTGTCTATGCTAGCATTTATGTTATATTCTGAATTAACAAACATCAAACGCTAAAAATTACATATGCATAAAAATTGGGAAAGGGATACACATCTTTTGTAAATCTCAGTGGAGTACATTCAAACCTCTAGCCCTACCAGATACTCCCAGATTAAACCACATGGTAACTTTGGAATTGGGGAACATTAATGACTACAAAACAATAAGAAGGCTGTTTGGGCATGTGCTAAAAAAAAAAAAAAATCTTTAAAGCCAGGCTGTGTCCTTATCATCGGATGCGTCCTAATGAATATCATTTTCCATAAAGAACCTTCTGGCTCACTTACATGCTTTCTGTTTGTTAAAATAGCACTCGAGTCATTTTATGGCACCCAGAGTTAACACAAACCCCAAACAAAATATAAAGGAAAGAGTGTCAAAAGAACCAACTTTTAAACTCTGTACTTTTTATTATTAGATGCTATTTCTAACTTGTTAAAATTGATCAAATAGAAAGCTGGGAAAAGAGAAAAAATTAAGCCAACTAGAAAAGTGTGACTTGGATTTAATATTTTATAATTGCCAAGGGACATACTGAGATCAATGAATTTTTGCCTGAGATGAACGTCAGAAAGAGATGTACTTCAGTCTTTTAGGGAACATTGGTCTATTTAATTCTTGTGTCTGATGCATGTGAAATAGGCCTGCCTCGGCCTTCTTTCTTTGCCAGGGGCACCGCCGGCAGCGGACATTACCAGTTTTAATAGGCCGCTGTCTGAGGAGTGGCAAGGGATCCGATAACCCATCGACTCTAATGGATCTGCCTGTTTATTCACTTACACCTTTTTTTTTTTCCCCAGCTAATTTTAGTTTTGCATGCTGAGTTGTTTCGCTTTGAATTAAATGAATAGAAACAAAGGGAAAAGTCTGTGCTGCTAATAAACCATGATCATAATCCCCGGCCCCTCTCAACTGGCTTCTCCACGTCCCAGGTACACAGTCTGAGAACAGATTCACGGTGGCGATTTCTCCACTTGTTGACGAAATTAGCATTTCATACATGCTCAAATTTAGAGGAAAAATTAGATTATTTAAATCACTTTATGTATAATGTGCTGCTGTTTGCAGTAGATCCAAATGCCCAGCCTCAGGCCCCAGACGTCCTCAGATTTCAGACACCGGTCAGTGACTCTTCTTGCCTGGGGTGGTGAGGGGTCACCCCAGAGCTCTCTCTGCAGGGTCATACGAACAGGAAAAATGCTGAAATGCTTTGCTTTGTCTAATAAAAAACCAAAGAGACACAAGGAGGCTCTGGCTAGGTGCCCTTCAACAGAAATAACAGGAGTCAATGGTTTAAAAACAACCCCACCCCAACCTTCTCTTTGTGCCCAGAGAGCTTGAAGAAGGTTCCAGAAACCTTTTAGTTGAAGCCTACCATAGGCTATGAAATGAATAAGAATGTCCAGTATAAGAGGGGGTGGAGGGAC